TGTATTGTGAGAATTTTGGGTGTTCAATTATAAATTGTCTGGCGTTGCCGACTTCACTCATTTCACCCAAAAATCTCGACTGAAAGTGCGAATATATTATTATTATTATTATTATTATTATTATTATTATTATTATTATTATAAGAGAATACGAGCAAATGTTGATGCGTTATTAGATACACGGATGGGAAGTGTTGTGATGACCACTCAAATTCGCGACAGTAAACATTCAATTACTACTAGATTGGGGGACTCCTGTTATAAATACTGGTAAAGTTACAAGAAATACATTTATCTCCCTCAAACTACGAACTGTGATAACGTTTTATTTTAAGTGCTGCAAGACGTAAAGATTTTTCTAAATAACAAAACTAATATCACTATGTCATCAACCAACGGTTTCATGAAGTCCCATATCAATGACCACTCTTATGCATTATGTAAAATTCAGCCCGCTTCCATTATAAGATGTACTAATCGAATGTAATTTCTCGTAAAAATTAATTGCGTTCAAAAATGTAAATAACAGTCACAAGTATGGATTGAAACGATTAAACCAAAACTGATTTTAGCGATATACGGTCTTACTTCAAGACCCTTGTGTCTGTCATGTCGAACGCGATTTCTTCTCTATATTAAAAGAAGTCTCTAATACACAAGAAAATTGGACTTATTATCATAATTGTATGCCATTCTGTGATTAGAAATAAAGATCTTTTATTGTTCCGCGCAATCCCATACACATTTGCGGAATGCGCTTTTCGATTGAAGGAAGTTGCCGGAGATAAAGATCTCATCAATGGCATTAATCTCAGTTCATTGCCAGTGGGTACTGAAATCTTTTATTTACTTATCACATGTTTCTGTGAGTTACCCAAATGAATTACATCTCACGAAGTTGATTGACTTAGGTGTAAAAACCATGTTCCTAGCTTGCTTGTAAGACAAAGTTTCAGAAAAGTGATTTGTGATCATGAACGTGGAAAAATGTGTGTCTGCTTTTTAAGTAACATGACAAGCCATTGGAAGTGTTATTCAGCTTAGGCATAACCTTGCACTAAGCGGACAATTGAAAAGTTTGCAGATTTTTTCCTAAGAGTGCATACGCAGTTGAGTATTACATCACACGCATGGGGTGGACAACTATACTTCCCGATCCGGGGAACGATGTACTAGAGATTTTACCGTCCTCCGTCGGTATAGGACGCATGTTTCATTTGTATGAAGTTAGCGCGGTGTCGGCGCGGGCGAAAGAGCGTACGTGCATGCCGCCCGCCAACAGGCGATCCCCACATGGGTCACGTGACGCCGGGACTTCCCCGCTGCACAGTCCCGTAGCGCACCCTATCCACACTCCCTCGCCATCCACGTCAGGCATCGGCGTTCCCCCTGCCTCCGCTCAACCCGACGAAACACTGCCATTGCGGCTCGTTCAGCTCGTTATTGTCTGCACTGCGCCTGTTTAATGAGAACGCTACCTGCGAGGTGACGCTCTCCGCTCCTCCCGTCGCCCACTGCTCGTTACCCGCTCCCCGCTCCCGGTCCCACACCACCCCTCTTCCGCACGCTAGCCGCCCCTCACGTGCGCTCCGCACCACCTCTGGTCGCAAGCGTGTCCGTTTCCCCGCCCACCGCGCTTCTCCTGTCCCCGCTGCGTTCACGCTGCTCACTCTTCCTGTCTAGGGCTGGCCACCCTCGACGTTTTTGTTATTTCGTTCTTGATCCAGCTTTCTTGACGTCAAAGTTACATTCCTCCCGTTGGTCGCACTTATTGTTGCAGCTCGATAGAAAAGATGAAAATGTTAACAAAATCAATTATCCTATTTAATATTTTAAATTGTTGTTAGAAAGTTCTATCTACTAATAAACATAAATTAATGACATTATATAGGAAAAAGTTATGAAATATTTGTAAATGTACAAGATATGGTGCACGTATTTTTCAAAATGTTCCCTTGCAAACAAAATGGTATGCAGAGGATGGACCGCAACACAGTAATGATTTCCTACTTATGTCCTAGATTATATATAACAAGAAATAAACATACAGACATGCGAACATACACACGTACATAAAAAATTAACTTTGGTGCAAAACATTGTATACTGTTTTCAGCAACATATAATATGCATAAGGACGTGTATTATATATCGTTGAAGTGGGCTGGTTTAACACTGTAATCCAATAAAGATCACTGCAGACATCGGTGTATACGCATCCTTTTGGAAGCCCTTTACAGAACTGCATAAACAGTAACACCACACAAAAAAGTACGGAGTGCTGATGAAGAATCAAAATACATCCAGGTAAGTGTGACGTATGGTCGGTTGCAATTACGTTCTAGCTAAGTAAATGAAAAACATGCAAGTTAAGACGAAATATTTAGAACACGCAAATATCATTTGTAAAATATGCTTTTCTACGTGAAGAAGTATTGAAAACTTGAAATCATTAATTAATTTCATTATCTTAAACATTTGTAAGGAAACTCTCTTCGACTCAGAACATACTCTCAGATTTACACTTGATTTAATGTTAATCCATTTTAAATATAATTTTGCGATGGGAAAAACTAAATTCTTCTTCTGAAAGTTTATAGTACTTAATAAAACACAGTAATTTTTATTAAATGCAAAATATATTAACTTAAAAAATAGAATTTGAAATGCAAAAAACAATTGCATGTAGCAATGTGATATTCTACACATACCATACCTAATCATACATTTGGCATTAACAATTAATTACTTTCCCATTACTTCCAATTTCAGAATTAGAAATTACGTCCTGGTATCCACATCATTATTTGACATCTCAGAAATTGAGCATCTGAACACACTTTTTATAGAGATATTTTTGAAAACCACTGCGTTGTATTCGCCGGAAATAATGATACTTTGGAGCTGGGAGTGCCGACCGCGAAATTTCATTTTTATTTCAGTACATAATAAAGATTTTGAGTGAAAATAAATATCCGTTATTTAGAAGTGAAAGAAACTTAACTCTTGCCCATTGACGACCACTACTTTGGAGTAATGTGAATTGTCAATCATGGAGAAAATTAGCATTTTCGTGCAGTGAAGACGAATTAAGAACCAATACCAACATTCTAGAATCCATGATTTCTGAATATGCCAAAACACAGACTTTTTATTGAAAAAGGACATTTAAAATTCCAAGATATCATGTTCTAAAGAGTATAACTTTAAAATACCACATCTTAACATGACGCTACAAATATTATGACATTATGATCCGGAAGTTCTCAAGAAAATACAGAAATACCGAATGCACAAAAACTTGAAGACAGTAGAAACCTATGAAATAACTTTTCCATCCAAGCGGTCAAAATATGCGAAACACCACATATAAGTCGCCTTCTCGCCCTCTAGCTAGTCGGTCGGATGAGGAAAAATTTTCCCGGGGCCAATTTCCGACTGACAGCAAGATTTAATTCAGTAAAGAATTGTCCAATAACCACATGAAAGTGTCAGGTAAAGTTCAACCATATCAAGTAATTTTGAGTGACATGCGAACCAATGGAACTAAATAGAATTTTTGTAGGCTAATACATTTTACTTCAGTTCTTAGTTCGTGTCAGTACAGTAGGTACTTAGGTGTTCGGACTTGCACATACGAGTAACAGTATGCTAAGAAAAATTTCAACTCGGCTAATCTTTATTCAGTACGCTTACATCGCATCTGTGAGACATTGCACAGGCAGTTTGCAAAAAATTGCATGATCATTTGGAGTAGCTAAATTTTTGAACATTGTGTGTATAACTCATTATCATATGTACAAGTACAGAAAAACTGCAGGATTTGAAAAAATTCAAGACTGCATCGGAGAATATAGTATTTTATAGTCTCTTGGATGGCAAAGGTCTTATACATAGTTGGGTAACACGGCGAAATTTCATGCAAAAACAATCACCGTTTTCTCCTCAATTAGACGAACAAATATTACAAACGTACATAAAAATTCTCATTTGGCTTCGCTCATTACTGCACTGATTTCTTGACGATTTCCCTTCCCCTGTAATGTCCAAAAGGTTGTGCTTAAAGTGAGTCGAAACGCTGAGGATATTGTTAAGTATTGTTGAAGCAAAATCGACTATTTTTATACAAAAGACTCAAAACCAATGTTTGTGAATTGACGGAATAGGAGCTATGCCCGCCTGCGTCGCGCGTGGCCCAGCCCTCGCGCGATTAGGCAGAATCAGAATTGCAGCGCACGTGCTGCTTGCAAATGACGCGAATAACCTCCCACATCTACGACTGCGTTTCCAGTGTTGAAACTGTACATGAAATTCCATGATGACAGGCTGGCTGTGTTGAAATTGGAAAATCACAAAAAAACTTTCCAAGTTAATATTTGCTATGAGGCCAAAACAATGAATTATTTATTGCTAACATTAAGAGAAACACACTCTATTTTTAATGACTCGCCTATGTATTGACTTGTAAGAAGCCCAATACACAAAAATAACATTACATATTTTGAGAAGTACTTTTTAAAAAATTTAGTACAATTTCACTTCACAAAACACCACTCTGCGTGAACGCTTTGTGCTATTTAGCTATGTTCTTAGCTAATAAAAAGTCAAACGTCATTAAATACGAATATCCCATTCATGAGCATAATCATGCTTTCAGTAGTGACGGCAGCGCTCATATGTGTTGCCCGGGGAACAAAAATGTGTCATAACCTTTCACCTTGTTTACAACTAGTGAAAGCATCGGCTTCCGCAGCCGAAGTCGCCGGGACACGCCGCGTCCTAGGCGTAGATGCCAACATTTCGGCCGTCATGCTGTGACCTTTCTCATTTCGCCCAGGGGAAGGTCACAGCATGACGGCCGCGCAGTATAATCGCGGTTGCTTAACAGCCGCATAGACGATTAGGTAGCGAGTACGCAAAAGTCCCCGATACCATTTCCGTACTCCCCGGTAATCTACTACTTCACACTTTTGCCGCCAGTCGCACTAGCGTGCAGCAGAATGCTAACTTTTATAAAGAAGAAGATATTTTCTCGTGGCAAAATCAACAACATAGCACATATATGGCTTATTCAGTCGCAATATGATTTCTCCGAGAAGCTTGTTTCATTGAATCACGATTCTCAACGAGAAAACTCCTGTGAAATTTCAAAGGTAAGTACTAGCCTTCACCTTCGTGGTGGACCTTGCTTTCTTATGCGATCACCTCAATTCCAAATTTTTTTCAAAAAAAGGTAACTACGAAAATGAATTCCTTCCCTAAAATATACCTCCAACACAGATTAATATCATTTATAAGCGCCACAGATAAAATCATATATAAACTTAACATTCTTCTCGTTAAATTAGTGGTTATGTGTGACTACATTTACTTTAACAAGGATTCCACACAAGGTAACATCATTTGTTAGACTTTTAGGGCTCCTTACGGCATAGACAATTAATTAATTTATTCTACAAGTAAAGTTACTTATTTCATTCGGATTTCTTCGTGACATTTCAGAGTAAGGTTAGCCCCATCAGCCAGCTATGTCATTTAAACTTGACAAGGTAGTTGATTTTAGCTAATTGTTCATTGTACTTTGCAAGATAAACACTGGCTAACTCGCTTTCTGGTTTATCTATGCGATATTATTATTTTAACAAAAAGGTTAATTGTAAAGAACAATCAAGATTTGCTCTGATTTTTCGACACTCTCATCCGAACATCCCTCAAATTTGATAATAGAACGCATGGGAAGTCGCAAAAAGAATTTATCATTTATCGCGTAATGTTAACTAGGACGCTTATACTGCGACTTGGAAAACTGCAATTTCTCTCACATGCTGGTGCCACGTAAAAGACCGGTAGTGTCAGAGTTGAACGTCCTTTCTGTCGTAAACTGATTGCTACATTGACTAAAAAGAAAAAATAAATTACTTTTGCTCGTTATTACACGATTAAAATAAACAATTCTTGGAAGCAAACTCAAAACAATTCAGCATTGCTGACTATCATCACACGAATACAATAGTGAAGACAGAATGAAAAATAGTCTCTCTAGGCAACCCGTCTTCCCTGTCCACGATGCTGCCAAGGTTTGAGATGAGATTACTGTCCCGTTAAATATACGTGATGTGTGACAAATCATCAACTGGGTGCGGTTTTCCAATCAGAAATTTTACTACATTAATTTTTGGTATTGTAGCTCTCGATTGGATAATCGCGTCAAGGTTGATGAACTGTCATAAGACACTATATTTAAATCGGACAATACACCGTGTCTCTGCGTACGTCATGGCCCTTTGATTTCACATGACTCATGCGCGTGTGGGCGCCTGCAGGGCCCCATTCCAGAGTTGTTCTAATTCAATTAGCCGACAAGAGATGGCACTTTCCGGAGGAACTCCCCCCTTAGGCCCCTCAGGCCGTTGCATTAAAAAGCTGGTCTCAGCAGGGCCCAAAACTGGGCTCATCTGGCTGTAGCAGCGCTGTGTCATAGACACGATTACTACACGAAAGGAGAAAACGCTGAGAATACCTCATCAAAGCCATATTGAGTTTTCGCGTCGCTCACAAAGCGCGTTTTCTGGTAACTATGAAGTAAAAACATATACTCAGTCAAATATATAAGAACAGTAAGATTGTCACTAATAATAATAATAATAATAATAATAATAATAATAATAATAATAAATATTATTATTAATAATTTATCGAAACCTTGAATTTTTATTGTCAAAAGTTAAAAAGGATACTCGAATGTTAAATTGATTAAAAAATATACATTTCCCCTCGAACATCAAAGAAAATATGTTATTCGGTAATTCTATTCAAAAGAAGACGATATGTGAGAAGGATATTCTTCCCATCCGTCCTCAGAGAAACTCTCACTGGTGCCAATTATTGTGCCGCCTTAAATGACACCATATGTTCATTAAAACTTACATATACGCAGTTTTTAGTGACAAATAATTGTAGGTCCTCATCAGAGTTAAATTTGTGTTCAAATAAATAAATTGAGTGTTATCTTTGTTATTTACCTGAACATGTATCTAACACTGATGAGGACCGTCGAACGTAAGGTCGAAACGTTGGAAAACTGAAAATGTGTATATGTAAATTTTAATTTATAATATTAAATTTATAATGTAACACAGCTAAATTTCAATATTACGTCACCTAGTTCAGCTTGAAATTAAGAGTACATTGTGTTCACGGTTCGATTCTTTTAATTGATTGATTGTTAGCGATTCCGGGCGCATTAACTACTAAGGTCATCGGTCCCGTTAGTGTAGTGCATGCTGTTGCACGGGAGGTGGCGGGAGTCTTCCCTCGCTGAATGGCGAGATCCGGTGGCCACCAGCGTCTGCTAGCGGGAGTTAATCCAACCGGGTTTATCCTACCAGCGGGACACACCCCAGCCGAGACAATCTCTAAGCTCCTGACTGGTCACCCGGATTGTGTGGATAGTGTATCGCATGTTAGTGTAAGTGCGAGGATAGGGCAAGGAAGAGGTAACGGTCCATGGCCCGTTTGTTAGTGTAACGTATTAGCCAGCGTGCCTCGTGGCATCTATTTGGGGACGCTTGGTAGAGGATTAGCCTCGCCACAGGAAGGAGAGGAGGGTTTTTTCCGTAAAGGCAAGAAGCGGAAACGGGAGACACGGCCTTTAGAACCTTTCACTGTTCTACAGCGGGGGGGGGGCTAAGTAAGTAGGTCACGTGGGGTCGCCTATATAACGGAGTGTACAGAGCCAGTGATGGGTTCTGGAGACAGTGGGAGAATTCGTGCATGTGCACAAACGTGGCGCCACGACGGTGCATATGCGAGCCAGGCCTCGCGAGGCAAGTTACGAGTTGACGAAGCCTGCGGAGGACTTTGTGTCCTTGGGGTGACTGCGGTCACGGGGGAACGATGCTGTGTGCGTGCTCCGAGGTTGAGGAGTGGTTGAGTGCCACGATTCACGCCGATTCTCAATCGGATAAGTTCTCCTGCGATCGAGGCAAACCAGCTTTGGTGCGCCAGAACGGACTTTGTGGGTCCAGTGTGACATCCGGTCACGGAAGTAGGTTTTGTGCGCGCTTCAAAGAATAGGAGTGGCGAGTGCCACAATCGAAACCGTCATCAATCGAGTTTGGATGCGCTCCCGCGATCAGGGGTTAGTAGGTCATCAGAGCTAGGGTGTAAGTAGGAAATTAATTGTATATATTTGTTTTGTTTTTTTTGTTAATAAATTATTTTGTTAATATGAAAGCTCTGTGTCTGTGGTCGCTGTGAGTATCCATGACGTCACATTAGGATACTTGCTCCGGAATTCGCTTAGTGTTGATCGGAAAAATCACGGAAAGCTACCGATCAGAGCAACCAGTCGCTAGGATTCTCCTCCAGACCGCGACAGAATTCGACCTAGCTAACAAGCGAAAATCCTGCCACAGAACCTGGACTCGAACCTTAGGACCTCCCGGTCAGAGGGACTGTAGTGTAGATTCCCTGAGACATGTCTCCCGGTCGTTTCTACGGTTTTTTGGAAAATATATTTTAAAATAAACAAACGTGATTAATAGATTGCTAATTTTAATTTGTCTCTTTGTCCTTGTGATTAAAAATATTAAAAGTTACAGACAATAATGTGTTAAGAATATTTATTTGTTAATCCGACCCAGAACTCATAGGACAATTTGACCAAAATATGATCTTTTAATTAACCACATGAATTGTTTTACTTAAAAGTATTTAATCATTGCAACCTCAAACATTAAATGGACAATTCACATTTTCAAATAAAATATTTTTTATCGTTTTTTAAAATTTTATTATTCATTTATTAACGGTGGCAGCAACAAGTTGTTGTACACGGTGTAATAAAATTATATAAAAAATTGACTTTCGTAGAGTAACAATGTTATAATTAAATTACAATTACAAATTAAAATTTAATTGATCACAAAATTTTGAGTATCCAGACTATACTTGAAGACGTTCAGTGTTTTCTTTTGCATACAGTGTGCGAGAAAAGCATTCCCTGTATTTACTACTCGGTTTACAATAAAATGAGAACATTGTCATGTCCTTGTCCTTTCTTTCACTAGTTCCATCGTTCTTCCACTAAGTCTTGGCTTTAATAAAGAAGTTCTTAAATTCAGAAATGTTATAATATCCATTCAAGATTTTAAGAGTTTCTATAATATCACTCCTATTTCTTCTCTGTTCTAATGTCTGAAGTATTTCTCGGCATCTCCCTTCGTAATTCAATTGACGTAGTTCTCTAGGAATCTTGGTAATCTACCTTTGTAATTGTTCAATATTTTTTTATCTTTTTAACTATCTATGGGGACCAAACCACATTAGCATACTCTAGTATATATCTAATATACGTTGAATACATCAGTTTTACCGTAGATGGACGCAATGTACAGAATGCCTACCTGATCAGATATATTAGCTTATTGACTATTTTGGTAACGGCAGCAACTTATTTACCCCATTTCAAATTTCGAGTGATAAAGAACGCCGAGATCATCTTATTCTATCGTAGAATTGAGGATGTGACTTTCGATGCTATAATTAAAATTTGGGTTATTTTGTCTTAGATAAAGGACCGTACATTTATTGGAGTTTAAAGGCAACAACCAAGATTCTGACAACTCCCCCCTTTTTTGAGGTCATTTTGTAACATCTGGTAGTGTTTAGTGGAATTGAGAAAAGTTTGGTATCGTCCGCATAGCAATTCCAACTGGAAGACAGATCATCATCTAGGTCGCAAGTGTATAGGATGAAAGGTATCGAGCATGGAACTGAACCTTGTAGGATACCACATGTAATGGCACGAGGTCTCGTCAGTGTTTTTCCAATCGCCAACTAAAGTGTTGGGTGCGATAAATATTCCTGAATCCACCTCAATAGTTTACCTCGTATATCAAAAGATGAGAGTTTGTGAATGAGACGTTTATGTGGTACTTTATCCAGAGCCTTAGTATAATCTAGATAAATGACGTCAAGTGGTTGTATCTGATCCAATTCTTTGGTCCATACATCTAGAAACTGGAGTACATTTGTAGATGTTGATCTTCCTGGAATGAAACCGTATTGTTCAGGGATAATATAATTTTCAAATGCATGACCTAAAATCCGTCGAGGAATTATTCTTTCATTCCCAGTTCTTGATTTTATT